AGGGAAAGGTGGTGCATTACACTTAATGACTTAAGAGTTTCTTATTGTCAGAAACAGGTTGTTGAACTATCCTACCTACTGAGATGTCCTTGATGTAAACTGAGGAAATGTATATGTGGCTTTCTGATTCCTCTGAATGTATGCACAGGCGCTGCAAAACAGCAAATAGAGTTCTGCAGAGCTACTCTGATTTGTTTTGTTAAGATGCTAAATATGAACATTAAATTGAAACTAGATGAAACTTTAAAGCCTTGTATATCTTCTTGCAGGCTGTTGTGCAAAATTTTCAGCACGAAGTAGTCTATATATTCACTCCAAAAAACATCTTCAGGATGTGGACTCATTAAAGACTCGTTGCCCTGTATCGAGCTGTAATAAATTGTTCACTTCCAAACACAGTATGAAGACACACATGGTAAAACAGCATAACTTCAGCCCAGGTATAGTATTTCTTTCAAACTACAGGAGGGTGCAGTGGAAAAACTGTTTTATTAAGGAAAATGTGTATTTACTGATGTTGAAATCGGAGCCCCATTGATATGCATGGCAGAATCTTCACTGAGACAGGAGTTGGTTTTCTCCCCTATAATTTTCAGTGGGACCTGTAACTGAGTATCAGAAAGTGAGACTTGAGCTTGACCTGTGTGAAACTACAATTTTTTTGAATGAAGTAGACCTTGTCCTTCTCCATGCCATCTGTAAAATATGAGTAAGGACTAAAAGCAGTTCTTTTTGCACTCCTCTTTCTGCTCCTCTACAACCTAACTTAGTCTGGACTGCCCTAGTGTTATCTTTTGGCAAGTGCTTTTGTAACCGAAATTTCTCAGTGAAGGAGTGAACTTATTTCAGTAAGCTTCTTTTCTTTAAATCTGCTTTCAGGAAAGTTGGGAAGTGTTTTAGTAGGCTGAGAATCTAGAGTTTTAAGCTTCCTCCTTTGATCATTCATATTTTTCCTCCCCATTGTCTGATGAAAGGTCTGTCTTAAAACCAAACCCTTCTCTTCCAGATCTCCTAACTCAGCTCGAAGCAACCAGCTCCCTCACACCCAGCAGCGAACTCACTAGTCCAGGACAGAGCGATCTCAGCAACATAGACCTCGTATCCCTGTTCTCCAATGTGTCTAGTAACAATTCTGGAATTGCAACAGACATGGCGCTAGTGAACTCTGGAATTGTCACGATCGATGTTGCTTCAGTGGGCTCAACGCTCGGAGGAAACCTGCCTGTCAGTAACAATTCTTTAAGCCAGGCAGTTGATCCGTTGATACTGGTGGCTAGCAGTGATATGCCACAGAGCCTGGACAGTTCTCTCTTGCTGGGAACCAGTGCAACAGTTCTACAGCAAAGCACTTTAAATTTGGATGATGTACAGACTGTCAATGCAGAAGCCTTGGGTTCGTTAGCATCTCTGTCAGTGAGGAATTCCAGTCAAGATGTGCACGGTTTGACATCCAGCAATAATTTAACAATTGACACAGCCACTTTGACTCCTTCTAGTAGCCTCAGCAGTACCAACGTGCCTGAGTTACTAACACCAACTAAAGTTGAACGGAATTTGCTTCCTAGCTCGGACGTTGTTAGTCAACAAGAGGGCAGCAAAGTAGTGACGCAGTTTGTCTTCTCCAACCCTCCAGGGAGCTACAGTGCACAGAAGGAAATGGATCTTGGCACAGTGACTGGCAGCTCATTTTTGGTATGCAGTAACTATATTCGGTTTACCCCTAGGTGACTGATATACAATGGATATCCCCAAAGTCAGGGCTACTTGCACCTTATAGGGAGACCTTTCTCTCAGATTTTGCAGATCACAGGTTTTGGCTTTTTTGATGAAGGATTTAGAACATTATGTTGAATAATGTGTTGTCAGAAGTAGATTTAGTGCGGTGATAACTTCTCTTAAGAAATACTGGAATTCTGGTGGGGAGACTTAAGGAGAACCTTTCAAAATAAGGGATTAAAAAATAAGTGGCCATCTGTCTGAGGGTGAAATGGAATTTATGAGAATACACAAAAATGTGCATTTCATTGCAGAGAAAGGTTTGGGCAGGGAGAGTAACTGCAACATTTTAATCTCATTCTGGTTTTAAG